ACTGAAAAAAGCTAACTATAAAAGCATACAAAGTCTCACCATAAGGGTGAAAGCCCTAATACTAAAGAAAAAGAAGTTTATAGATTGGAATATGAGCAAGACCCAGAAAAAATACATTAAGACTTATGACATCAGATCAAAATCTGTTGACACAAGAGATAATATAAACATTGCCTAAAAGAACTAAGTGTCTTAACTAAACTTAGAACAAGAACAGGAACAGATCATAGCTATCTTTGACAACATATCAATCAACTAGTCAGATAATGTGGAATTGAAGTTCTCTGTATGTGAAGACCCAATGAACACAGGTTCAAATAACTTCAATGAAGTGAAAAATTTGCTAAAAAGTATGATAAATTTTCTGAAAAGATTGCAGAGAATTTTAAAGGTATAATGCTGAAATGCAAAATGGTAATCTAAATTAGAATTTGAATGAAAATACAATAAATTTAGAAAAAAAAGCTATCAAAAAGTTATCAATAGTTTAGCTTATTTACTAAACTAAAAAGTGTCAAAGCAATATACTCTAGCTTTACCTTAAGAAATAGAATTAATACAAAAAATATAATGCATTAATCTTTAATATTCTAAGTTTTAAAAACATTTCAATTAATAGAAGATGACTTGATAGCAGCTAGACCTTATTACAAAAGAGACAAATATTTGTACCTTGAAGTTGTCTTCAACAACTAAGATAGACAGCAATTGTATGCTATACAAGAAATTAGTATTTTTAAATAATCACTCTCTGAGTATATTTTAGTTAATCTTAGATGTAACTTTCTGTTAGTTAGATTATGAAATGTCCTAATAGAACCTAAGAACTTTATTTCAAACTTGATTAAAAAGACTACTAAAGATTTTGGTATTGTTTCATTAATCAAATTCATGATATATAAGGAAACACTAATATACACAAACCAGTAGATTGTCATATTTGAAACAACAGAAAACCTAAACCTTGCTGAAAGGCTTCTCAGGTTTATACATATATGAAATCAAAAGATTATACTAGAAAAAAAGAGGTATCCAAACTTTGTTTTTATTGTGACAAAGAAGAACATATTAAGAAAGACTATAAAAAACTCAGAAAATTAATTAAAACTTGACAATGGCAAAAGAAATATAGAGCACAGACAATGAATCAAATTAAAGTACATAATTAGAATAAAATAACAGAAAACATTATATATAATATAAATAATCCATATATATTAAATACAATACAGAGACCAACTATTGAATCCAATGTTAATAATCAGAAGTTAGCTAGAGAGAAAAATGAAGAAAATTTTAAACAAATAAGAAATAAGATAATACCAGATAATCAGCTTGATGAAAAAGAACAAGAAGCTCATAATATATAATCTGAAAAAAGAAGAAGATAAATTAACTGATGCTCTGACTACTGAATTAATAAAGAAAAGTAAGACAGAAGAGGTGAAACAAGAGTCTAAGAAAGGTGATAAAATGGAAACAATAATGAAAATGAATATAATATCAAATCAAGTAGCAGATAAAGATGGTTTTATACAGGTAACTGGTAAAAAAAAACAGAAAGAAAACCAGTATCCCAATAATAAATAAAAGATCTTACTATATAGAAATAATAAAAAGGTTAAGAAAGACAAGGTTTTATTGAGTAAATAACAGTCTATCAACTCATAATTATTATAAATTGTAGATGTAATTTTTTTTATACTTTTACAAATGCATAATACATTCAAAATAGCAACCTTAAATGTAAAGGGTTTGAATAACAAACAAAAAGCTTAAAAAACTATGACATTATTAAAATTATTTAAGTTAGATTTAATTATAATTTAAAAAACCAATCTTTATGACTATTTTATTAGAAATTTCTTGCTCAGTAATAGATATTTAACTCCTACTAAACATCAAAGACAACAATTCTGATAGAAAAAAAAGAAATTAAGTTTGAAAAAACAAATAAAGCATACAATGAATGAATTCTATTAGTGTGTTTTAATTTTAAGCAATGATTATATTTGGTTACCAATATGTATATATTACCAAATATTGAGGATCATGTTACCTTTTTCAATAATTGGTCTCTATAAGTGAATAAAGAAGTAATTAATATTGTAGTAAGAGATTTTAATATAAACTTGGATCTATACATAAACAGAATTAGTCAAGTTAACTCTTATAATGATCCTTTATATAATATTTTAAAATTAAAAATATAGAAGTTTATAAATATAGCAGAGATAATAGGTCTTAAACCTTTTCTTACTTTTTATCAAAAAACATATAAAGGTCAATTAATGACTACTTATTTGAACTATATATTTATTGATACAAATTATATACAAAGTTGCAATAGTGTTGCTACTCAGTATTGTAATTCTGACTATCTATTAGTTAAATGTGAATTGCATTTTACACAAAAATGCCCAAGAGCAACATACTAGAAATTTGATAAGAGATGCTGGTTAAATATAAAAATTAGAAGTGAAGTTGAGAAGAAATTACATAATATTAAAGATTTAAACAAATAGAATTTTTATAAATGTATTATTCAATTGATCATTTGAGCTTATAAACTACACTTGGCTCAAGAAAATAAAATTCAAAAACTATATAAAAAGCTTACAAAAATAAACATAAAAATTATGCATAATGATAAATATGAAGACTTACAATTAGTATTAGAAGACATAAATTAATAATTGCAAAAAAAGCTGACATCTTTAGCAGAAAAGTGAAAAATTAAATCTAAAGCTAAATGGATAGAAAGTAAAGGAAAATCTACAAAATACTTTTTCATGTGTTATAAAAATAGGCTTTCATTAACTTCTATTAATAAAATTAGGAATCTAAGCAATCTGATGAAAAAAGATCTAGTTACTATACTGATTATATTTAGAATTATTTGGAACAACTATATAAAACAGAAGAAGTCAGTAGAGAAGCAGTAGAAGAATTAACTCAGAGTTTACTACAAGTAACTTTAGTTCAAAATTTACTATTTATTATAAAAATCTCAGAAGAGAAAGTTCTTGAAGTGATTAATACACTTGCCAATAACAAAACTCCTAGAATGAATGGCCTTAGTTGTGAATTTTATAAATTAGCAAAAAAAAGATTTTTTTTAATATTACTAAAGCTGTTTAATAAAATACCAGAATCAGGAAAAATGTTACTTTTATGGAATCAAAATATTATTACACTTATTCTAAAAAAAAAGAAAATTTAGAAGTAATAAGTAATTGGAGACCAATTTTACTTACTAATTATGATATAAAAATTTTTATGAAAATTATAATAAATCATTTAAATATAATATATGCTGATATTATTGGCTTATATCAAAGAGGATTTGTAATGAGAAGATCAATTTTAAATACAGCTTTGAATGTGATAATAGTTATAAGGAACCAAACAAATCAGTTCAAATATCATTGGTTCCTCTTTATAGATCAACAGAAGGTTTTTGATAAGGTCAACTATAAGTATCTACAAATGGTTTTAACTAAGATAAAGTTTAATACAAAATTCATTAATGTAGTTAATACATTATTCTTATCACAACAAGCCTATGTCATAGATGATGCCTTGGTCTTAGAACCCTTCAAAATTGAAAGAGATGTTTAACAGAAAGATTCACTGTCTCTACTTCTGTATACACTTGCAATTGAATCTTTATTAAAGTTTATATATAAGAGATTTAATGATATTGATATTATGAATTAGCAGTTTAGAATTTCTGCTTATGCAGATGATTTACTATAGGTTTTGGCTCTTAGGATGACTGGCTTAAATTTATAGAAATAACTAAGACATATGAAGCTGCATCAAATACTAAAATAAACAAATCTAAAACAGTTTTAATTTCATTTATAATAGCAATGCAGAAACATATTTTACCCAATGAATGTGAATTTAAGAAACTGATAAAAAACAAATTAGTTACAATACTTGAATATAAAGTAGATAGTAGAGACAATCCCATAACACATTTATAAGAAGATTTAGCTTATATGGTTCAAGACAAAATTAAATTCATGACAAATAGAAACCTTTCATTTAAAGATAGAATACTAATATCAAAATTATTGTTTATCTTGAAAATGTAATACCTGACATATTTTGTTTCTTCAAAAAGAAAACAACTATATGTCTTTAACAATATGATTATGAAATGGATCAAAAATAGGTTAAAAATGCTTTTATGTTACTCAACCTTTCAACAGAAGTATGATCAAAGAGGTCTGAAGGCTCTAATATTAAAAGATACTCTGGATGTTAGACTAATTACAGTTTTTATAAAACTGTTAACAAGTAATTGTATATGAACAAAAATAGAACACACAATAATTACTGAAAACCTACAAAACAAAAAGAATATAACAATTAAGAAAGGACTAAACAGTAGCACAACTACAACCAAAGACTGACCAGAGAGATAGAAGCTATATATATTGATGTAAAATCAGCATAAAAGCAAGATGATTAGAGAGGATAATGAAACATGAGACCCAGAAGATTTTACTATAGGAAATCAGTGCAGTAGCTATTCAGTAAAAAAAACTACAAAATTCCTATGATTCAAAGTTAAACTCTCTTTCAGGCAGTCAGAGCATGTCAACTAGATTAAGGAGAAATAGACTATTAATAAAAAAAAAAAATGTTGCATGAAGGTTGAACTTTCAGGCACTTCCTCTTAGATATCACCTTTTACATACTAACCAGAAGAAAATAGTGACTGTCCACCATGTCCTGGAGAGACACAAACTTTGCTACACTTCACCCTAGAGTGCAAGGTTAGTAAAATGATATGGATTGAAGCATATAAATGTCTAGCAACCTTGATTAATGATAAACTTCCTAATTCGTGAAATGAAATTTTTTCTGCGTCTAATATTGAAGAAAGCTCCAAACATAAAGCAGCAATATGGTTGCATATCACCTGTATATATAAGATTTGGTGCTGGTACACCCAGGTTAAATGGGAACAGAAACAGATACCAGAGATGATCTTGCCAGCTATAATTCAGATGAGATTAAGTAATGAGTTAAAGGTTCTGGAAGCTATACAAAAGGAAGGGCATAATGGTGTAGAGGAAGTAATGAAATACCTCATCCTAAATGCATTCAGATGAATGTCTAGGTACTCTTCCTTTTAACATTATCTTCTTGTTCACAAAACAAATGATGTAAATATTTGTAAATTATAAATAAAGTATGCCTACATGTTGTCCTCTGTAAAAGGGGTTAAAAAAAAAAAAAAAAAAAACCTATTAAAATATCACCAATTTCATGGGCAACTTATATAGAGCTCATATAATTGATATACACTTTGCTTTTACAACAATGTCATGTGAAACCAGGAACATAAATTATGAATGACTAAAGTAAATTCATTATAGAGAGTAAGATTATAATCTGATCACGCTTTTTTTTAAAAAAAAGAATTGTTTTTTCAATCTACTGGCTGCAATACATTGAGTTAATTGAATTTAAGTTTTATTAAATTTTAAAAGAGCTGCAAGGAAGGAATCGACCAGCCCCAAAACCATAAAAGATCCTTGCAGTCCTTTAGGCTCTCTTGATTTCTTTTTTTAATATAAAAAAAGCTGAGTTGAAATTTGACCTTATTTTTAAAAAAAATCTTTGTATCTAAGCCCCACAGGAGTAAATAAATGGCATTGTAAATTTACAGTTCACTAACCGTTAAAGTACTAATGACCGTCCACATAGACCAACAAATTCGTACCAATTTGAACCTTTTACGTACGTACGTACATTCAAATCTAGTTTTGATCCATGCCACCCAAACTTGTGCCAACCCATGCTATTATGTCCATTTTTCTTATCTTTATAGGACAATTTTCGTAAAAATTTTATTGTTTAATCGAAATTTTAAACTTTAAATCGATACGAATAAAAAAGACCAATACAGATGTATAAATAATAACGGTGGCTAAATTAATACTGAAGAAGTCTTTAATATGAAATCTCGATAATTTAAAACCTAAAACCATAATCCTGGCATACAAATTTTCGACAAGCTAAGTTTTATTAAAGAATCATAACTTACTATTTTACGATAAAAAGAATGTTAAACAAAAAGAAAAATACAATAAGTGTTTAACCCTATTCTAAAATACTAGTGAAAAAATAATAATCAGAAACAAAAACAACCTTTAATGCTCGTTCCAATTTGAACCTTTAATTTAATTTAATTTAATAATCGTTATACAGTTACACTAGCTTTAACTCTTTTCAACAAATCTAAAAGCCTTATGTTTCTTAATTTCAAATTGTTAGCCTATATTATATTCATGTTTTTTTATTAATTAGGATTATGAAGAATAAATTTTCACAAATAAAAGACAACTTAAATTGCAGAGTTTAGTTGATTCATTACACCTATAGACTAAACTGAAACGCTCGAATATATCTCTCACCTAACTTCAGAATTACTTCGCGGATTAGCAAATTACTTTGACAGCTTATAAAAACAAAATATACAATTTTGATTTTTTGAGTGTCAAGTTTTACCGATTCGTATCCGTGGCTACGAATCTAATTTTTGTAATGCGAAATGTTACGCTAAGATATTTTTGTAGCGTTCCCACAAAAAATTGGTCACCCCCGTAATTTTGACCAACCAAAATTAAAGATCAGGTGTAAAACAAACTTATTTTGTTTTTCTTAGTAAAAAAATTACGTGCAAAATTAAATATAAGAAAACAGCGTTATAATTAGGATTATGATTAGAACAGTGTGACTATCGTTAGTAGAATTTCACGAGAAAACATTTTTAATTAGGTCGCAGAAGATGGTTTCATAATAAAAATTTAGAGCTATTCCTGTAAGAAGTGGGTTCATTTCGATTTTTACGTTACACCTGATCTTAAAATTATAGGGGAACAATTTTTTTGTGGAAGAGCAAGGGCCGTTATTCAGCGCTGTATAGTAAGTGCTAAGATCAAATTTTTATCAGTGAAATTAATAGTAGTAATTTGAATATTATTTTTCTATTGGTTAATTATCAAAAAAAAAATGCAATCTTCTAAAATATTTATACGAAAATTGTACTTATTTTTGAGCTTTTTTAATTAAAACTATTCATTAGAATCATCTCGAAGGTTTAACGTTGGTTTTATTGCGCAAGCTTTAATTTATAGTTTTGAGATAATTTTTTTTCTCTAATTAATAAAAAATTTAAGCGTTCGTAAGACAAATCTCATAATTTGTAGGTTTATGGAAAAGGTTTCATCATTTGCTTAATTCCTTAGCACTTTATAAACTATTTAAGAAATTTTCAAGGTAAAGTAGTTTTTGATGAAAAGATTTCCAGTTGCTGTTACATCCGAACTTCCTCTTTGTAAGCACGGGTTAACCTAAGACTATAGTAAGTATGGATGATAATAATTGAATGTCTTACGTACACCTTATCTAGTATGTAAATAGTTATGTAATAACTTGTATTGACGTTTAAGAGGATTTATTGTGATTTGCAATTACGAAAGAGACAAACGACTAAATGTATATGAAGATACAAGTAGACGTATCAGTTTATTCAATAAAACCTTGACTATTCGTGTGTGAAGACACGGTTACTCTTTATTAAATGAATAACAAGTGAAAGCACACCGATTCAATGGTACAAATCTGCGTGACTAATCTTTAGTTCACTTGCTAATACTAATTCTACGTTGGTTAACAATATAAAAAATAGAAGAAATAGAAAGTTCGCTAGATAATAATATGTAAATAAATAAAAAGGAGAATGGGGTAGATATTGATTAGATAATTTTGCACGGTAAATACGTACTACTTCGAAGTTAGAAATAACCTTTGTAGCGATTTTTTATTAATGAAACGTCACATTCTCAAAAAGTACTTTAAAGTGTATAAATAAGTTACCTGGCAATGGATTTACATCAGCAATCAAACGGAAGCCCTTCTATGAATTCCACCCTAGTTTTGATGTATTTTTGAGTCACTTTTGACACAGTTAAGGTTAGTAAGTTATTTAGATATCAAGAATACAGTTTATGCAGTATGTAAATTAATATATGAGAAATTAAGTAAGCATTGTTTTGAGGCATGAAAATGAACTAAATTGATGCATACCAAGCAAGTAACATTTAATAGACTAGTTATTTTGATAAACTCTAAAATAAACATATCTTTTTACAATGCCACCTAACAAGTATGGTATATTCAAAAATTTTTTCACTTTTTTCGAAAGATTTTTTGCTTACTGTCGAGTTGTTAATTTTTGAAAGTTATCTTTTGCCTTTCAAAAGATCTTTTTCTAACAACATTTGTCTACGATCATCTTAATATTCAAAAAGTTTTTCATCTTTTTCACAAAATTTTTACTTACTGTTGAGTGATAATTTTTGGAAATTATTTTTCGCCTTTTTTGTAAGTTATTTTTTTTTCTTTTTCATCTACTACAATTTACTAGTTTTTTTATCAAACTGATTATTTTTTAAATTTTTTTTTTAACTTACTAGTCCAAGTATGTCTTTTAGAAAGATTCTCGGTTTATTTCATAGGTGATAACAAACAAGACATTTTAAATATTGAAGATAACAAAATGAAAACATAGGCAGAGGTAAATTTTTCTAATATAAGCATTGCTCATATTAAGCATTGACCTAGACAAAAGTATAAAACAATACAGTTAATTTTTGGAAATTGACCTTATTTGAATACTCTTAAAGATAAAAAGATAAATAAAATAAACGGATAATTTTAAAACTTATGTCAGGATTGATTATTATTATTATCGTTATGAGAAAGATTTCAAAACATAAGAACTACCACAACGTGATTTCTGTTATACGGAGTTTTTATTTAATAATTGAAATAAATATTACTATAAATATTTATACAGTAGGCATAAATATTTGCAGGGCAAGCCTGAAGAAACCTGACGAAACCTGACGAAATGCGCGGTTTCCACAATGATTATCATGTAAAGATAGAATTAATAACGATAATTCCAGCCAAATTACATGTTTCAATTACGTGTCTTAGATGCGTCTTAGCCGCTAATTTCAATTATTTACAATGGGATTGTAGAATTACCTTTTTTGAAAATAGTTTAAAATATCCTTCTTCTATTTTTGAAAATAGTTTAAAAATATCCTTCTTCTATTTTTAAAATTCAGACTCGGGGAATTAAATAGGCACATACGTTTGTATGCTTATACGTTAAAAAAAATAGGATTTATGGATCATATATTTTGAAGTAAATACGTCACTTATTTTATCAGAAATTGGATGCCAAATCATTAACTCTATGTACAATAATAATTATAATATTATATGATACACATACGATCAGGTATTTTGTCTGTTAAAGCCTCATACAGTGGATAATGATTACAATCAAGAGTCCTTTGTATAGTACTTAGCCAAGAGGCTGCATAAATATATATACTGATATTGAATAAACATTGAATAAACATTATATTGAATAAACATTGAATAAACATGCTTAATTGTTTTTATAATAGTTTTGTAACCTGTAATACAAATATAAAATTAGATCAAATTTTATCTTGACTTTTATGTTATCATTCGCACTTATCTAAAATGAGCTCATCAAAATCTGAAGATCAGGACCAAACAGAGATTTTGATAGATGATGTTCCACATGAGAAAAACGAAGTTCCGCACGGAGGAAAAAAAATAGACAAATATATAGTATCACCAAACATTAAATGCATTGCGACTATAAGCAAAGAAGATAAATCAATTGTTGTATGGATCGTTACAAAGACCTTTATGAAAGATCTTATTGTCAAATACGATAGTTCATTAAACGTTAATGATCTTGAACGTTCTCTAAACTCTGATAGCTTTTGTAAAAACCCTGATTTTAAGTTTGAAAGTCTATTTTCAGATTATCGTACGCTTGCAGGAATCTCAGATTGTAAACATGTAATAATACGAGTTGGCATTAATGATTTTGAAATGAATTTTGGTTAGTTAAAATTAAGTTATCGTCAAGGTTTAATTGCATTTCATACGTATTAATAAAATTTATTTTAATAGCAATTATTGACATCACAACTAAATTAAGACAAGTATTGAGTGCACAAGGTTTAGAAGGATATACAGATAGTATTGCCTTTCTAGAAAATGGAGATCTAGCAATTGTCAAAGGCGAACCAGTTTATCGAGCCTATATCTTTTCAAAATCAAGTTCTAGTGGAAAACATAAATGGACTTGCAATAATAGTATTGAACTCGAAAAATCTACATATCTAGAGACATGCCGTATTTCGAAAAAAGGAAAATTGTTTATGGGATTCGACATGCCCTTTGTAGTTACGCAATGGGACTTGATAACTCGAAAGTTTGATATGCAATATATACTAAATTGGGATTTAACCCCTTATGACTTGCGTTGGAATTTAAAAATTGAATTGAATGGTGATAATACATTGTTAGCAATGGCTTGCAATACACTCGAAGGCAACAGTGTAGTCTATATTTATTTAACAAAATCCGGTATGATGATTGCAAATAGTAGGTATTTTCTATGTAAAATTCTATAAATATTGATACGTACCAAAATTATTAATTCATTTTAATAAATTTAGAAATTTTTGATGAGAAATTGCATAGTTTCTATTTTATTGGATCAGGAGAAAAAGAACGTTTGTTTTTTTCTGGCTATGGAAAAGGTTATAATTCTTATATACTAAATCCACGGACACACTTTCTCGATAAGTCTCCTGATACTCATGTCATATATGATATTTATCATGTCGCATTTAACGATAAATCGATTGGCCCTATTGATATTACCCATGATTATAATATTATTGATGATTATATGATAAAAAGTGATAATTATTTGTTGATTCAAAGATTGTCTCAAAATGACATTTGGATAGAATATTTAAAGCATGAAGATAAATGCTACGGTAACGCATATACATATTTCAATATAAAAGAGATTAAGGAATTTACACAAAAGATTTTGGATAAATATAATGATAAAGAGTACGAATCAGACCAAATTTTAACTCAAAATTATTCATATGAACCTGAAGTATACAGTGGTGAGCTATACACTTGGATTATTGAACATGAAAAAGTGGATTATGGGTGGAGAACACGGTTAAAAGCCAAAATTGAATCTGATGAAGGTGATAATATAAAATCTATAAATTATTATTATTATTCATTTCATGGAATTTATGAAGGTGCAGTGCTCAAAAATGGTGACATATTGTTGGTTTTTCCTACTTGCATACAAATATATACAATAAACTTTGTAAAAAATTCCAAAGAAAATTTTAATGGAGAATTAATTTATTGCTGGAGCGATAGATTTGAGTATGAAAGAGCAAAAACACCAAAAGATTCGATTATTAGACTAAAGAAACTTCTTACTTCATTTAAGAATGATTTAAATTTGAATTTTTACAAATTTGGCTTTGAAATCTTACCACCTCCATTTCATCGTGTGTTTGATGAAAAGGGAAGATCGTATAGATTACAATATAAAAATTCAACATTAGTAAAATTGTATGGAAAAGATATAATTAAATTTATGTTAAGGGATTCAGATGACATTGATGGATTACTTACTTATTGCTATGATAAATATAGTTTGTCATCATTACTTGAGAGCCGTGATATTTATAGTTATATAATGATAACAGGCCAAATTGCTTTTACATTAACAAAGTTGGAGAAATCCAATAAAAATAAAAGATTTACGGAAGAATTTTTATATAAGACTAATATGTTAATTTGTCATATTAACTCTGACTATTATCATAAAAAAGGAGATCCTTTATTATTTAATCTTCAACATTGCGGAATCTATGTTAATTCACATGGTTTATTTAATACTTCATCTTTCAATCATTTGTTTTTCTGGATTTCTAAAAAATCTTATCCAAAATTTTATGAAATTTTAGCATTTCCTTATTTGCT